CAAAATCTGAATCAGCCTACATAAGCAGCTACAGTTACGGAAATTAATGTCCCTCGAAAATAAGTAATTCTAAAAAGTCAACCGTTTAGTATTTGAACATAGATAGATCTCTACTCGTATGCATAATTACAGATAGCTCGACGCAGCATTATACAGAGACAATAATAAATTCTCTGTGCAACGACGATATCGCTCCTTAGAGATTAAAGTACAAGCCTTTTCCCTAACCGTCGATATTTCGACAAAAAGTCAAACAATAAAACTATTTTAATTATTTTTACTTTTTACGAATCATTATTATATTATGCGTTTTTACATTAAGAAAGTATTTCTGTCACATCAATGAATTCTTAGAAATGAGATGTCAGATAAACGTAACAAATGATTAATGTTACTGTTTGTGAAAAAAGAACGATCGTTACGACTCGATGTGATGAAAAAGTTGGCGCGTTTTGTTATGGCTGGTGCTCGGCGTAGCGAAAATCTCATCACTTAGGGCTTAATAACCAGAACACGCAGACTCCGGCTACGCGCTCATTTATTTCCGCGTCTTTTGCCGCGATAGTTTTCCCTCTTTTTGTCGCGCGTCCGCTTTTTCTTCCCTTGCTCTTCGAATGCCAAGCGAAAGACCAAGCGCGAAAAAGAGAGGGATGTCGGGCGGACCGGGCGGCCGGGTCGAGCCCGCTAAAAAACGCCAGTGCGGGCACGATGACTTTCGGAATCATTTTTCAAAATGTCTGCCTCTGCCTCGAGGGGGGTGACCCCGACGGACGGCGGCAAAGGGGTGGCAGAGGGGTGGTCAACCCCCGTGGCGTAGGGTGGCAAGATGGCGCCGCACGGTAAATCGATGGAGGCTAGTCACTGCAGGCGCCCTCGCTTTCACAGCTCCAACTCCCCGTTCCCCCGTCACCCCCAGACCACCACCCACTTTGCTTCTCCCCGTCATCCCCCTCATTTTCGAGCTTCACGCAAGCGCCCGTACCGTGGACGTCGAGTCTTCGGTCATCTAAGCATAATTTTGCGTTTCCAGCATAGTAATCTACGCCTTAAATGAAAAAATGTGTAAAAAATCTTTTTTATTCTTTTTCATGTACAAAAAAAAATCAATTTCCGAGAGAATTTTAAAATAAAAAAAAATGGCCAATCAATTTTTCCTTTTTATTGTTCTAATTTTTGAGAAAAATATCTATCCCAATATATAAATGCATCAAATATGCATACATATACAATACATATCGAAATATGTAAAAATTATAATGACATTTATTAATCTGATTTATCGTTAATTATAGCAGTCTGCAAATAATGCAATAGGTGAAATTAAACGAGAAGTTTACGGGAAAAATGTAAGCCGATCGCGTCCCGATTTTTCCGATAAACCCATCTCATTTTAATATTCAACACTTGTAAACGCATCGGAACAAAGGCGATAGCCGCTACAGATCGGAAAGTATTTGTATCAAATGCATTCCGTTGAGCGCGCTCTGTGTACAATAAAAATTTCAAGCGGGTCGTTAAAACTGGTTTTTATCCCGCGCGCTGTGTACGAAGCGAACCTGTTTGATTCTGTCTGAGAAATGTAACCGCCGAGGGCGAGAACCCACCGCGGCTTTTAAAAAGAACACACGCCACAACAGGTTTCCGTCTCTTAATCCTTCCGCGCTCGCTTAACAGTCTCTCACGTCAATGTGCAAATGAAAATTTTCATAGACACGTCGTCTTTCCTCGCGTCCCGGCTAATGCCGTGAAATTTTCATAAGTGCACTAATTTCATTATACTAATTGGAATATTTTAAAATTTACGTAAACGCGACGGGGACCGCGCCGTAGGACTCAATTACGAATAAAAATCCGCGAATACGGGGGAATTAAATGTCTCAGTGGGAAAACACGCACGTTTAGGAGGTCATATTTTCCTAGTCGTCCATGTAAGTCGTTTCTCACACGTCGTACTTCCATCTTGCTAGTCGAGGTCTCACATAAAACGAAACACCGAGCAATCAGATCATTCGATATTGTTATCGCGAACTTCTCTATGAAATGTTTGACATTGATACTTGTCAACAATGCCTATTTGAAATTTATGCACATTGCAAAATATGTTCCAAAATGTCACAGATAAGCATCAATATAATCGCACTACAAATTCGAACCGATTTGTTAACATTTTGTTATAACAAACATATATGAAGAAGAAACTATTATTATCTTTAATATCTCTTATTAAAGTGTCGTTGTTAATTCACTGATGTTTTTAAAACAATATCCGTTTCTAAATATATTTCTCTTATTTTTCCTTTATATGTATCAAAGATCTTTGTTAACTAATGTTTATTAAATTAGATTGAGTGTCTATTAAGAAAGAGAAATATTATATTTTTCTTACTTGCTTAAATCTCTGTTTTTTGTTGCACTTTAGCATTAAGATGCATTATTATTTTGTGATATTTTGTATCTGATGTGATTTTGCATCTGTCCTTTTCAGTATCATATATTTATATTATCGCGTAAAAACGTATATTAAATTTATATCATATGGAATTTCAAGGCTCCATTTAAAAATCAAACGAGATACATGTGGATAATTAACTCTTATTGATGTTTTATAAGAATGATTGATAATGCGGATAACGCAATTGATATACAAATAATTGATTGTCCAAAATGAGGTTACAATCAAAACGTGAATTGCATAAAAACTCTATTTACTTGATAGCTTAATTATATCATTAACCTGATATTAACTCGATGTAATTAATATAATAATAGAGAATAATAATGTCCTTAAAATATTAAACTCTTTCAAGGGATATTGGAATGTGCGGAATACACGAGCCGACCAATCGTTTTATATTTAAATTATATGATTTATCGAATTGTTACGCTGTATTAATTTGTATTTTCATATTTCTAGCGTTTTGTGTACAATTCTTCTGTGCGATAAAATATCCATTAATATCTCTGTTATATGTTGGATTCCCATTAGGCTTTCAATTCTTAATCTTAACAACAGTACTTGTCAAATCAATAACATCCGTTGATTAAATATATCAAATAATCTCAGTGAGGATACAGGAAATTGATTTGTGGCACAAACTAGATACAAAAAAAAATTGTAAATCTCAACATGGCAATAGAACTGGACGAAACGCGGATCAGATAATTAACGTTGAAAAAAATAAATGACGTCTTATCAATATTATATTGGTCTTTCATTAAAGATTTGCCCCAACATTGTTTTACTTCATGATATATTGTTTTTTCTGCCAATTTTATCGTCTCTTTTTATTATTAGGATTCTTTAAAATTTATTGTGTTTGTAATCATCAATATGAGCTTGATTGTAATTTATTTCTATTTATTTTTAAAAATCATTACATACAGAAAAAATATCATTCTAAGAAAGTGATTACTCAATTAATTTAATTAATTAATTTAATTACTTAATTTTTCTCTTTTAACGATTATATTTAACAAAGAATATTTTCTCTCTCTCTCTCTCTCTCTTTCTCGATAATAAAATTATATTTAATGTATTAAAATATTTTATATTTATTAGAGAGAGAGAGAGAGAGAGAGAGAGAGAGAGAGAGAGAGAG